AGACAAAAGGGTAAATGGTAAGAAGCTGCAGGAAACTTAACAAGGCCTGTTTTTTCAGATTCTTCTTGGCCTCTCTGTGTGACATTCCTTCCCTCTCAGTATGGGGTAGTCTACTTGTCACATGAAGGTCTTCAAGGTAAGAAGGAGGGAGAAGATCAGAGAGTAGCCTTCCTAGGTTTTCTGGCCTACTTCAGGGAAGAAGGAACAAGGGAAATTTCAGTTTCTATGGCCCACTTTATAAGAGAAGAGATAGGAGAAAGTCAGAGAGAAGTTCCTGCTTTTTTGTTTGTTTGTTTTTCAATTTACTTCAGCTTAAAATACTCAGTATGTCAAGATGCTGTATTTTGGGGTACTGTTTCCTACCACATCATTATCTATTGCCAGACAAACAACTCCACAGCTTAGCAGCTTGAAACAACACACATTTATTATGGTATAGTTTCTCTGGATCAAGAATCAGGGAGTCTCTTAACTGGGATCTCTGGCTCACGGTCTTCCATAAAGCTCCAGTCGAGTTGTTGGCCAGGCTAGTTATCTTAAGGTTCAGCACTTTAAAGATTCACCTCCAAGCTCTTCTAGTTGTTGTCAAGTCTCATATTCTTGTTAGTTGTTGGCTGGAGTTGTCAGTTTCTTACCATGTGATCCTCTCTACAGGACAGCTCACAATATGGCATCTGGCTTCTCTCAGAACAAGTGAGCAAGGCAGTGAGAGAGAATAAGACAAAAGCCACAATCTTTTTGTAACCTGATCTTTGAAGTGACATCTCATCACTTTTGCAATATACTATTCATTAGAAAATAGTGGGTAATTTCAGTCTATACTCAAGGGAAGGGAATTACACAAAGGCTTGAATACTAGGAGGTAGGACTCTTTGGGGATTAAAAGCTACCTACCACAGTTTTCCTTCTGGCTCTCAAGGATTCGCTTCCTTTCCACATGCAAAATACACTCACCCCCTCCGAAGGTCCTCAAAATTCATAAATCGTTAAAGTGCCAGCTCAAGGTTTAGAATCTCGTTATCTAAATCAGGTTCAGGTGCTGCTACCTGGGTGCAGTTCCTCTTGTCTTGTGGACCTGTAAAATTAAATAGCCAAGTTATCTTCCTCCCAACACACCCAACATATAATTGTGGAACAGACATGGGATTAACACTATAGATATTCCTATTTAAAAAGGGAGAAAATGGGAAGCAAAAAGGTATCACTGGTCTGCAGAAATCTTAAATCCATCCAGGCAAATGTTAGATATTCTTTGATTGGGTCTGGGTACTTGGCTTTACATGCCTAGCTTTTTGGTTTAGCCTTCTGAATCAGAATTCACAGCTGAGTGGTTTCCTCAGTTTGCTACCTACTAGTAGAATTTTGGGGATCCAAGAACCTCTTTTCATTTTGTTTTCTCTTTGTCTCTTTCAGTCCAAGCTGGCAATGTTTTTGCTGATATGGTTTTATCAATAACTGTCTGGGTCTCCTGTAAATTTCCATTGAGGTTTACTTCATTAGAGAAAAGCTACACCTACAAATCCCCCTTGAGATAAGTTCTTCTCTACCTTGTGTTCCTACCCATAGGGCTGTGAAACAGCACCTTTAAGCTTTTGATTTAAAGGATCTATAAGGCATACTCTTAATCTCTTTAAAGTGCCTTTTGTGTGACTGAATATAATGTTGAAGATCTAAATAGAATCTTCGATATTTCTTAAATTTTAACAAGAGATTTTACAGTCATACTTTTCATTTTTAGACAACGATTCCTGGAAGTGTCGTAGATTTGATCTTTACCCAGAAGTCATTTCTTAATTTTAGCATTATTTGCCATTTGGAGAGGCTAAGATTTTCAAAGCCATAAGTCCTGGCTCTTTTTAAAAAAACACCACACCCTTCCCTCAATTTATCTCTCCCCTCTCACATTTTACTATAAGTATCAAGAAGCAACTAGGTGGTATCTTCAACACTTTACTTAGAAATAACCACAGTTAGACTACCCAGTTTATTAAGCACATTTTCTACTTCTCACATAACCACAGACAACATTTACATTCTGCCACTACGTTATAAGAATCCCAGCTTGGGCAACGTAGTTAGACCCCAGCTCTACAAAAATAAATAAATAAATAAATAATAAAAATAAAATAAAAGAAAAGCCAGAGGTGGTGGCATGTGCCTATAGTCCTAGCTACTTAGGAGGCTGAAGTGAGAGGCTTGAGTCCAAGAGTTTGAGGTTACAGTAAGCTACAGTCATATAATCATGCCACTGCATTCTGGCCTAGATGACAGAGTGAGACCGTGTCTCTTAAAAAAAAAAAAAAAAAAGAATTTTTTAAAGATTTTCCTTTCTTTGTGATTCCAATAACATTTTCCTCCCTTTCCCTTAAGCGCTCACTAGTGTCTTCTTCAAAGTCCCAAATTTTACAGCATGTTCAAGGCACTTTAAACATTTACTGACACTTTCCTCAAAATTCACTGCCCAGTTCCAATGCCATGCCCACAGTTTTAGTTATTTGTATGTCAGTACAAGACTTCCAGGTAACAAAATCTGTACTCATCATCTAGTGCTATGTAGCAAATTACCCTGAAACATGGGGGCTTAAAACTATAGACTTTTATCCCGTAGTTTCTTAGGGACAGGAATCCAAGGATGGACTAGTAGGGTTCTTCTAGTTCAGATTATTCCATAGTGCTATAATCATTTTGTAGATGGGTTTAACTGACTGTGGTAGGTGCCTCTAATGATATGAATATTATTCTTTTACTGTCATTCATTTTTACTAGTTTGTCTCTCATCCATTTTTCTTCTTTCTTGGTCTTTTCATTATCTTACTTGTTTTCTTGACTTTTTTCTATGCTCCTTATTAAGTTTCACTTGATATTCTACCCTGGGTACCTTATTACTAATTCTTTATTTCTAAGATATTTTGTCTTTAGTTCCTTCTTAAGACAATTCTCTTTTCATATCTCCTTGGTTTTTGTTGTTGTTGTTGTTTTTCCATTTTCCTTCTTAGTGTTTGAGTTTCTTACAAGGTTTCTCATATCCTCAAACACATACTTGATTATATATTTAATTCTTAGAGTTTTCTTCTGCTTTTTTTTAGAGACTTCTCTTTGTATGTGTGAAATTTTCTCATTTGTGTGAAAGTTTGTTTTCTGATTCTTAAGAATAGTTCTACATGAATTTGCTAATTTGCATTTTGTTCATTTTTATTGCATTGGGATGTTTCACAAGATTCCTAGTTTAGTGATGCCCTTTCTCTTTACATAATAAAGTTCATACATTGTAAACAGATTTGTTTGTTTGTGGGGTGGCAGGGCTGTGTGTTCTCTGGTTTTATGATTCTCTTTTGTTCTGTAGGATCCTACATTTTTCCCTTTAGTTTCTTTTTCCTTTCACCACCTAATTACCAAGTGGAGTTTCTTACTTTCTTTATTGACTTTTTTCTCTTTCAGAAGCTATGTGTTTCAAAGATTGCCCCTTTAAACCATAGGTACTTTGAAATCCCTTCCCTGTGATCCATGTTCTGATCTAGTCAGATGCTTTTTTAGAATATTCAGATTTAAGGTAGAATCAATCTTCCTGAGGATAATTTTGGATCAGTTGGCTCCTTCCTTATCTTCCTTTTCTGTCTTCCCTACAGTTTGTCTCTTTTGCCTCATGGCTGGAGGGTGGGGATTAAGGTGGTAGCATGGAAGATTGTACTGGAATTTGGTAATTTTTATTTTTTTAACCTATTGTTACTTGGAAGTTTTCGCATTCTATGTCTTCAAGTTATGCAGAGGGCTTTTTCTGTGTAAATTTACATTTGCCATCTTGTTATTTGATATTGTTTTAGGAAGATATGGTGGGAGAGTGGTAGCTTGGTGACTACCATTGTCTTCAGCTACCTAGAAGTTCTCCTTTTAATTTTTTAAAACATTTCTAATTACTTTTTCAAATTTTGTGTGTGTTAAATTAGAAGTATTGAGAAGCCAGGGACTATGTACATCTTGTTCTGGTTTATTCCATTTGTCTAATACAGGTATAATTATTGTAGAGTCAAAAGAGCGCTACACTTCAGTCTGACATAAGGAATACTACATTCTGAAGACATATGTTTACATCCTTAGCCTATTTAGTCCTTAGATTCTTTATCTATAACCAAGGATCTCACAGGATTGTTGTGGGAAAAGTTCAAGTATAAAAATACTTGACAATAGTTATTGTCCTATCTATGCTTAAGCAACACTTATCCAACACACACACACACACACACACACACACACACACACACACTCTAACTCTACGTTAATAACCTATACAGTTTTCTCTTTTATCTTACACAATCCTTAGCATTTGATAATTACACTAAACCTTTTATATGTAATTTTTCTGACTAATCTGTCATCATGCTTTTCTTGTAAATACCAGTGTCTCAAGTCCCATTTCTTAAGATGTGACTTTGGGAAACTGCTCTTGCATTTTCTGAATTTTATAAAGAAAGTGAAACACAAATTAAAATGTTACTGCATATTTTATTTTTCATGAGTAGGCAGCCTACATTCACAGTTTATGTTAATGTAAAAAAGCTAGTACACTGAAAACCTATTTTTTTAATCTATTGCTTATTTAATCAGGGTTGTAAATATTACTTATATAGAGACACAGAGATGTGTAAAAATGAAACATTGTGGAAAAAAATACAATTTTTCAATTTCATATGAAACTCAAAGTGTAAGTTTTGTCCAATATGGAATGTACCTACATTTGTTTATATTAGGGCTCTAAAATCCATTTAAAAATTGTTTTTCTGTTTTTAAAAAAGAAATAGCTGACCCACCAGGCAAGTTTGCTATATATCTTGCTTGCTCAAAATGAGCATTTTCAGGTAAGGTCTGTTTTTTCTGGCCCAAGTCTACTATGATTCCTTAGAAGTCATACTGGCCCAATCGAAGAAAGGGTTTCCATGAAGAGTCTGATGGTGGCATCTGGATGAGGGGTGGTCCGGGTAATGGGAAGTGAGTAGAGAAGAAGGAGCTAAGAGCCCAAATCCTTATGAAGGATGACATTCAGTTGTTAAATTTTAAGGGGTATCCAATGGCTTTTTCCAGGCACTCAACTAAAGAGCCTGCAGAAAGAAAATCCCTCTCTACTTCTACAAATTTGATGTAGATGGATTTGGGGGAAACTCCGGGATCCACAATACAGTTCTGAGACAAAAACCCATTAGTACCAACCAAATCTTTGCTGAAGGTTTTGGTATTCACTTGGAAATGTAAAAATAAGCACTGCTGCAGAGTCCTGACCTCAAAAATCCAGAGGTAGCAATAGATAATTCGGGTGGGTTCTATTTCCACCTGTAATGAGGCTTGTGCTGAAAGAGTTCTCAGATCAACCCGGCCCTCTTTTCCTGGGTCCAGGGAAGGTTGCTCCACGTGTGGTGAGAGGGGCCTCTCAATACATTCTTCATAGCCAATGGCATAAAGGCCTAGGCTTTTAGGAATACCCCCGGCAATAAATATTGAACAACATTCCCACCAGTTGGTTTGGAATGGGCAATGGGTATCCAGTCAATTTCCATGTGCAGCTCCAAGCACCTAGCTTTGCTAAATCTCTAAAAATATGTAGTAAATATTTTTCCAGTTCATTTTCTGCACTCGGGTCATAATGATCCGTCCTTCAGACTTCTCAGAGTTGAAGTACTCCCGAAGTCGCCTGCCAAGGGGCACCTGGGAGCTGATCTCAGCATAATGGTAACGGATATCCTTTTTCCAACGGGTGTTATAACCAATTCCAAAAATGGCCAGTTTATTAGAAAGATGGAGCCTTGAAAAGTCTGTCCAGTTCTGAAAAAGTTCCCATTTCAACTGTACCGATTCCAAAATCTGTACAATATTCTGCATGGTGTCTCTCCTCTGTGCTTCCTTAGAAGACTCTTGTTTTATTTTTAATGTTCTATTTGTGACAGGTATTTCATCCAATTCCTGATCTGTTGGATAGCCATGGAGATCCTGACTGTGGTTTCCCCAGTCCTCCTGTGAATAGTCCTCCATAGTGCTGCCATCTGACTCCAGCTCATGTAAGCTATGAAAGTGGTTCTTGCTCTCTATTCAGCACCGGTGAGGCCACAGCTGGAGCACAGTATTCAGTTCTGGATATCCAACCAGCTTGATGCGCTCCTGGCACTGGGACGGGGTCCGCTTGTGGCCCAGCTTGGCCAGGGCCCGGGACATGCGCTCGTACATGGCTGGCCCGGGGGCCTTGCTGCCGAACACCGTACCGGCTCCCTCCAGCTGCTGGTACAGCGCCTCCACCAGCCGCTCGTTGCCCCACACTGTGATCAGCCGCCGCGGCCCTGCCACCACGGCCACTAGGGGAGAAGGAGACCGGAAAGCCTATTTTTAACTTGAAAATTTACAAATTATAATAATCCTATTAGTAAGAGTAATAACAATGACACATATTGAAATTTTTACTATATGCCAGTCACCATTTTAAGTACTTTTAAATTAAGCTAATATAATCCTTACAACAATACTATGAGGTAGGTATTATTCTTTTTATCTTTATTATATAACTAAGTAAACTAAGTTAAGTAACTTGCTGGAGGTCACACAGCTAGTAAATGGTGTAGCCTGTGTTTGAACCCAATGAAAAAGATGTCGTGAGTCAGTTAGGCAAATGGTAAAATACTACTTATTCAGGTGGACGCTTCTTGAATCACTATTTAGTAAGCTAAAAATTTCTAAGTAATAGTAAATCTCAAGCAGATAACATTACTTAAAAATACTCACCAAAGAAAAGGCTTGAAGTCTTCCCTTTCCTGGACAGAGTAGGATACTAAAGAGCAAAGGGAGGAACAATACTCAAAGGAAGGGAATTGGAGGATATAAAAGGGTAAACCTTCACATAAAGTGGAAGAACTCCAACTTTAGATAATAGTTAAATTTTTGAAACAGTCTATCCTGAAGAAATAGCCCAGCCTTTCTGACTATGATGTCTAAATGCACAGCTTCAAGGCAGTCAATTAAGATACTCTTATTTTTCACAGCAGTTCTCTTTGGGATTCTTTGACTTGGAAAACAAATGAAGCAAATGAAGTTAATGACTCTTTCAAGTCTTTCCATCAAAGGCTCCCAAATTATATCCATTGTATCAGTGAAAAATGCTCCAGTAGGAAAATAAGTTGCTCTGAGACACAGTGATAGAGGAAAGGAGGAAAAAGAAGCCCAGGTGATATGGTTTGGCTGTGTCCTCAGCCAAATCTCATCTTGAATTCCAGCTTCCACAATTCTCAGGTGTTACGGGAGGGACCCGGTGGGAGAGAATTGAATCATGGGGGCGGTTTCCCCCATACAGTTCTCGTGGTAGTGAGTAAGTCTCACGAGATCTGATGCTTTCTAAGAGGAAACCCCTTTCGCTTGGTTCGCATTCTCGCTGCCTGCTGCCGTATAAGAGGTGCCTTTCACCTACTGCCATGATTGTGAGGCCTCCCCAGACACGTAGAACTGTGAGTCCATTAAACCTCTCTGTCTTTATAAATTACTCAGGTATGTCTTTATTAGCAGCGTGAAAATGGACTAATACACTAGGCTAAGTGAGATTCTTATGGTGGCACAAAGTTACTGGCTCCCGTCACAGAAAATGAGGGCCAGACATTTAATTTCCAACCCCCTGTCCCACACTTTCTTCCTCAGAGTCCAGATGTGATCAGAGCATGCACAGCAACAACCATATCACCCATATTAGGAAATCAGTGCTCTAGCCGTATTATTAGATTTGGGGAAAGAAATGAGAACGTGTCTGAACATTCATTAGATCTCTGGGCATATCTGACCTTTGTGTTATTGGTACAATTAGTAATCAAATCCTTGGCATTTTTCTGTCTTTACCCAGGAGGTTCACCTTATAATTTTCTCAAAGATCATTATTTAGGTCCCAAATCCCAGACTGAGCTGGCAACATGATTATAAAGAAAGAATAAACCTCAAGCAGATTAGATTACTTAAAAATTCACAGAAGAGGCTTGAAATTTTCTATTCACTAGAAAGAGCAGGGTCTGTACTACCTCCGTCAGCTTAACATTAACGAAGACATGTAAAATTTAGCCTTTGGCTTTCGCTAAAGTTGCAGCTCTTACCCTGAAATTTCTAGGCTATACTAGTATTCATCTCAGTCACTGGAAATCATAAAGACATGTTAGGAAGTTAGTCTGAATATCATCAAAATCTTATAAAAATGAACAGAATATCAAACAAATATGTTTATACAATGGAATATAAAATTAGAAAATAGATATCTTTTTCCAGATGTGCTGAACACCACGTTTCAGAAGTGGTCAAGAAAAACAGTGAGGAAAAGGGTTTGTAGAAATTATTTAAGATGAGGCAAACAGAGAAGCAGACATGTTCATATTTTGCTGTGGCTTAGAATGATGAAATGGGAGAGAGTGATATTTTTTCTTTTCTCACCTTACCTCGCAACATTAACTGAATTATGTGATTTTGAAACAAAACCTTTGATTAGCTACAGACCAGTTACATCTCCTCACTTTCTAAGCATGCTTAGAACTGCTTGTAAATGACAGATCTTTGTGATGGCAATGGGAAGCCAGTTAAAGCCCTTCCCCCCGCCCCCACCCCACCACTTGAGGTCCTCAAAGCCTGGTTGTTTGTTAAAGCTCCAGTGGCCATCAGATTTATGAAGGTCCTGCCAGCCCAGTTTACTAAGTTTCCTGAATTTGGAGAGAAGAATAAAGACAAAGTTTGAACAGCTCATAAGATACATTTTTAATCTAGTAAGCAAGGTTAATTGGATACGGGTATTTAAAATAACCAGAATATGAACATGAATTAGATTGGAAAACAGTAGTCATTTCACGGGTTCTATATGGTGAACATATCTGAGATGATTCTTTTTCAGTAGTCCTGGGACAACTAGATCTTTGACTTACTACTTTTGTCCTTTTGTCCTGATTTTTAGGGAATATTTGTTTATAGCCAAACTAAAAGAGCAGGCTGCAGTACAGCCACAAGACCCATTTCTGTGTAATATCGCCGAGTGGAAAACTTAAATTCCCCAGTCAGAAAATAAGCATCCATTGAGAGATGAATCTTGTAGAAAAGTAGTGATGAAAAACTCAATCCACACCCGGAGTTTGGCGAAGGTCACTTCTGGATGATGATGGGGGGAAATGAAGCTATGTATTTGCGAACCAAATTAATACATGAATCTGTAAAGCATTCAGGCTGACCTTGAGACAAATGCATCTCCTTCTTCCAACCAAATTATAGTTTTTAACTCCTCAGAAGGATGGTCTTTCTGAGTGCTGACTCCGAGAAAGCCTGCTCCCTGGCGGATTGTTCCTGACAGGTATGAATGTTACCTTTTATCATCTCTTGCCCACTGATGACAAAAGGAAACTAATTACAAGTAATTTCCAGGCTCTCAGAGTTAAGGTCCCCTCAGTGGCCTGAGAATTGTTTGCAGGTTTGGAAAGATGCCAACTGTGTGTTGGTTCTGGGCAATGATCCTGCACTCATATAAATTCTAGAGGTAATGGTGAAGTAATAGAGTCACAACTGGTGGGAAGCATATTTTTCTGTCTTGAAGAATGAAGTCCCTGCAGATGTGTAGTGAATGCATCAGTGTTCACGGCCATTGTGAATTCTCCTAAAGCCTCCTTCTGAATTCAGTATCTCCCAAAGCATTTCAAATTTGTGGCATTTTCTATTATTCTTAAATGTGGTATATTCATGGCTTATTTACTTAAAGCCTCATTGTACATTTTGAAGAAATTTCTTGACGTAGTGTTTCAGTAATATCATTAGTTTCTCTGTATGAATAAATGCTCCCAGATGGCTTCATGTCAGCCACACACAAAATATCCCACTGTCCCTTTCTCTGAATGGCAAAAATAATTTTGTTTATTTTAATAGCATGTCTATTCTTATTGTTCCAGAGAAGTCTTCCAACTAAGTAATTAACTGGTATTGAGCAATAACTCATTTACTCTCATTTGCTTACTTTATAAGGCACACATTGTTGTATTGTAGCCAGCACTGGTCATGCCATTAGTCTTTTTTTTTCTTTATTTCTTCTAAAAAAAAAAACAAAAAAACAACAGGATGCATGTGCAGAACGTGCAGGTTTGTTACATAGGTATACATGTGCCATGGTGGTTTGCTGCACCTACTGACCCATCCTCTAAGTTCCCTCCCCTCAACCCCAACTCCCCAACAGGCCCTGGTGTGTGATATTCCCCTCTCTGTGTCCATGTGTTCTCATTGTTCAACTCTCACTTATGAGTGAGAACATGCTGTGTTTGTTTTTTCTGTTCCTGTGTTAGTTTGCTGAGGATGATAGTTTCCAGCTTCATCCATGTCCCTGCAAAGGACATGATCTCATTCCTTTTTATGGCTGCATAGCATTCCGTGGTATATATGTACCACATTTTCTTTATCCAGTCTATCATTGGTGGGCATTTGAGTTGGTTCCATGTCTTTGCTATTGTAAATTGTGCTGCAGTAAACATACATGTGCATGTGTCTTTATAGTAAATGATTATATTCCTTTGAATATATACCAAGTAAGGGGATTGCTGGTCAAATGGTATTTCTGGTTCTAGATCCTTGAGGAATCGCCATACTGTCTTCCACAATGGTTAAACAAATTTACATTTCCACCAACCATGTAAAAGTGTTCCTATTTCTCCACAGCTTCACCAGCATCTATTATTTCCTGACTTTTTAATATTTGCCATTCTGACTGGCATGAGATGGTATCTCATTGTGGTTTCAATTTGCATTTCTGTGATGATCAGTGATGTTGAGTTTTTTTTTTTCTTATGTTTGTTGGCTGCATAAATGTCTTCCAGGCCTTTGAGTCCAGCATGTGTCCATAAATAATACCTGGTACTTAGTATATGTCCAGTTAAAATTTACTACATGAATTAATGAATGGATTAATATGTATACACAGTTTACCTTATTAGCCTTGTGTTGATATGCATGGTGGAAGGACGGTTAAAGAAAAAAACTGTTTGTTTTTTCCTATCCTATATTCTCACAATACTTTTCAGATACCAATTGCAAGTAGTGGGTTTCCAGGTCCCAAAATTTCTGTCTGATTTGACTGCATATGAGAGCTTCCCATGACCTTCTTCTTAGGCTTGATAATTTACTGAAGTGATCCACAAAACTCAAGGAAACACTTTACTTACATTTACCCATTTGTTATAAATGGTATTACAAAGACTATA